GCCGCCACCTCCACCCCCGGTATACGCTTCTCCTCCGCCGCCATCATATCCTCCACCGGCTCCGGTTTACTGCATTCGCCCGCCACCGCCACCACCGCACTCACCGCCGCCACCGCCGCCGCCGCATTTCTCTCCACCACCTCCGGTGCCTTACTATTACAGTTCACCGCCACCACCACAACAATACTCACCGCCTCCACCACCGCACTCCCCCCCGCCTCCGCACTCACCTCCACCACCAGTATATCCCTACTTATCTCCGCCACCTCCACCATCGCCGGTGTATTCCTCTCCTCCGCCGCCGCCAGTATATTCCCCTCCACCACCACCTCCTTGTATAGAGCCACCGCCTCCTCCTCCGTGCGTTGAGTACTCACCGCCTCCACCACCGGTCGTCTACAAGCCACCGCCTTCGCCTTCGCCTCCGCCGGTGATCCACTACAGTTCTCCGCCGCCACCGCCCGTTCACTACAGTTCTCCGCCGCCGCCAGTGATTCATCACAGTCCTCCGCCGCCGCCGCCTGTATATGAAGGACCGTTACCGCCGGTGATCGGAGTATCATACGCTTCTCCTCCACCACCGCCATTCTACTGATTCTTTTGAGAAACTTTCTCGAAACTGGAAATTACGACAAGCAAAAACCCAAGAATCGGAGATTTGAAGTGGTGTCGCCTTGACAGGACAACATTATCGGATTGGAATCGGGGAAAAAGACGGCGGCGTTGTTCATCGAATTGTTTGTGAGAGGTAACCGGAGAAATTTTATAAAAAAAAAGGATTTAATTGGTGAAAAATAAAGGAAAAATAAAATAAAAAATTAGGGGTTTGCAGGAAAAAAGTTGTATGTATAGAGGATGATAAAAGAGGAGCAACATCTTCTGCTCCTTGTTTCTCATTTTGTGTTTTCGTATTAATTTAGTTTTTTTTTTAATATACTCTCATATTGTTGTTTAATTTTAATTTTTATTTATTATGCCACACTTTCACTTGGATTTGCTAAATGAAATATCCTTTATTTTAAATTGGTCACAAAATGTATATGGAATTTGAACTTGGATGATTTTTTGTTTGTTTTGTTATTAGTTCCGAAGATTTGGTAATGCGAATACTTTAGTTTGGTTATGGGTTAATATATTATATATATATATATATGATTATATCCATATGGGTATGGGTCGAACCATCGGTTACACACTTCTACATGATGGTCGAAATATATATATGTATATATACATTCCGGCGTTTTGAAATACAAAATAGGAAAAATAGATATTTTAGATTTCAAATTGATTGTATTTAACTAATATTAAAAAATAGAATAATTCGATTTTCAAATAAATTTAAATTATATATTATTTAATTTGATTTAATCTTATATGCAAAAAATCTAAAAATCCATCTCTAATGATGATAATAGTATAACCCAACCGACAAAAAAGGAAAATAAAAATAAAAATGTGAATTCTTCGTCAGTGCAAAGATGTCATGCGTCAATTTTATGGTTAATAAAAATATTATCTCTGTTCTCTTTAGGGTTAGGCGTTTCGGTTCGTTTCTTCGAAACCGGACCGAACTGAACCGTTAAAACGATATTTTTTCCGACTCCAAAACCGCTGTTATTTCCCGAACGATATTATTTTTAGAGAACCGAATTTTTCCGGAACCGAACCGAACCGAATCGTATTTTAAAAATCTCGAAAAACCGAATATTTTTAAAAGAAATCTAACATTTTTTTAATAAAACCCGGAACCGAACCGAACCAAACCGATACCGAAACCGAACCAAACCGAATACAATAAAAAACCCGATTGGTACCTATTTTTGTAAAACCGAAAGAACCGAACTGATCTATTTCATCCTGAATCCGAACCGTTTTCCGAAATGCTCACCCCTAGTTCTCATTATATTCTTAGTTCTACATGTACTTTCCTTGTTATAATTACATTTAGTTACATTCTGTTTCGAAATATTTAAATCTTATAATATAATTACGCAAAGCAAAAAAAAAAAGAAAAGAAGTTTCTAGTATTGCATGATATATTGTAGAATGTTGTAAATATTTTTTTATGTCATTTTAATTATGCAAAATAATATTTGTGAAGGTTGCAAATATGAAAGGGAGTGCCTTCCATATGAGGGCATACTATGTTGCCTATAGATTGTAAGACATTATGGAAATTAAATTCGCCTCTTTAATTGACATCGCCCCCAAGCATTCAATTTAATTTATAGTTTCGAATGGAAGTAAATATTGAAAATATATAGATGAATTGTTCAATTATTAACTCATATTTTTTTTAATTCATTGTTGAATCTTCTTACTTCTATTTTACACACAACATTTGAAGAATAAATAACGAGAATTTGTATAAGTTTTTATTATACCGATATTTCAATATTAAGTAAAAATTGGATGTTTTTTTTTTATTGGGGTGGACAAAATATTTTTTTCCACCAAACACAGTGATGAAGATAAGTGGACCGACAAGGAAAGATGCTTCCACGTGGTGGGGCCCACGGGAAAGTGCTGCCATGATAAAGAAAAATATAAATATTACGTTAAAAGAAATTATGTATGCGCATAAATCTATATATATATATATATAAAAAGATTTTCTCAAACTTTTTTTTGTAAACAATTTCTCAAAGTTTCACGGTGAGATGATGCAGAATTATATTTGTGGTGGCAGGAAACGGTCGAATCTTAAGAAACTATAATAAATTCTGACTTTTGGTAACCTAAAGTAATTTTGCATAAAGTTTTTCCATTTTCCATTTAATTTATTCCCTTCACCTCAAAATGTTTTTTTTTTATATTATATATATATATATATGACCCAGTCCAACTTTCTTGAAATAAACATAGGCCTAATTTACGAGCAAGTAGATGGGCCTTGATTTGGCCCAATACCATTGTGGGCTTAAACCTCTCAATACTCGGCCCATTGCTTATGGGTTATGAAAATTTTGGGATTTTATCATCATTTAAATAATTGTATTTGGTTTTGAAGATGTGAGCCAATTCATTTGCCGCCGTTTATAAAATCAGAGTTATCTATTGTCATCCCGTTTATAAAATGTGTTGGATTGGTTCGAAACTCAAAAAATAAAAGTATGGTTTTGATCACGGATTATAAATTATAAATTAAAATTCAAGCTTTCATTCAATTTTTGTAAATACAGATGACGTGTAATTTATTTAAGACAAATCTTGGAGGAATTCTAAATGAAAAATAATAAAAACTCCATTTTTTTTTTATCATATTCTTTACCTCGATCATTTGACACAAAATCCAATAAAAAAATGAAAAATTCCCATAGAAAAAAAAAGGGGAAATGGACCGAATTCCATCAAACTTCTTTTGAAATTTATTCCGATTCGTGAGGATGTGGTGAGCATTTTCGCCTGTAACGCTGTCAATATATGAACACCATAATGATTCAGAGTTATCAAATGAACATGAATTGATGGATGTCCATACCAACATTTCGAATCCTGATAATCACATATTATAAAAAAAATGAATTGATCAGAACCAATTCTATTATTGTTCGTATTTCGGTTACGAAAGTTATATGTGGACCGACCGGTGTGGTTTTTATAACGAGGATCTTATGTTCGAAAATGACTTTTCTTTCGATATATTCCATATCATACGAAATAACACGCACAATCTTATTTAACGGTGGCTTATTCAGGTTTTGGTTCGGGTATAAACCATTCAGTTTTTACATTGAATTCGGTTCGGTCATATTCGGTTCATGTTTGATTCAATTACGAAAAAAATTATTCATTTTCTTAAAGAAATTATAGTTTTTTCGGTTATTTTTTTATTCGATTGGATTCGATTTTTTCGGTTTTATAGAAATCATAACCATTCGGTTTTTTTATCGAATTTGATTCGGTTACAAAAATATGGAACTTGATATAACTTGTTTCAAGACGTAAATCATCTGTTATAAAATGTACGTAGTAATCTATTCCAATAGGCGTGTAGTCGTATATTAATCGGTCAATATATGCGTATTTATTAAAAACAAATTCGAGAACGGAAATAATAACAAACTAGAAAATTATGCAAAGGGTTTGCTTAAAGAAGATATATGCATGCACGTAGAGTTGCAATCCAATCAATAATTAACCCTAATTCGGACTACGTACCATATATATGCATGATTGATTTGATGATGATAAGTCATTTTTTTTTGTTGTGTTACCGAAATTTGGCCGTGCATGGTTTTGTTATGATCATTAATTAGGAATATGTCATAAACATATATATATATATATATATATATATATATATATATACACATATATGGACCACCACCATCTCCAAGAACAAGGTGCAAAATTTGATGGATCCACCCAAAGGTGGCGTAATATCACCGCATGCTTTTGTCCCTAATAGATGAACTCTTTCCAAAATGAAACCTATCTTATTTATGAACAAAAAATCGATCAGACATTTGATGAATTATGTGTGTGTGTATATATATATTAGTGAAACATCTAAAAAAATTAATATTAGAGATATGACTAATATGACGAGAAAATAGATGATATGAGTTTGGTTTTATTGGAAGTACACCCTTAAATCCTAAAAAAAAAAAATCATAAAATTTAGTTCTAATTTTTATTAATTCTATATGATTTAACTTTAATAATTATAAGACAATATTCTTAATAGCACTTGGGTACTATATATATACACATGCTATATGCTGTATATTTTTAGACACCGTGTCATATATAGATTATTAGCCTGCATGCTAGAAATGGTATACAAAAAATAGTCGTTGGTTCATCACCATAAAAAAAAAGTTTTGTTATTTGTAATACGTAGGATTATTAGGGCTTTAATTAGCAACAATTTTTATACCTTTTTTAACAATACAACATTTTTAATTATTTTGATCATAATATATATATATATATAGAGAGAGAGAGAGAGTGTGTGTGAAAAGTGTGATACGCATTTTTCTTAATTAGTGATTAATCCGATATTTTGCTTAACTTGACAATATTTAACTAAATATATATTTTAATATAGAGAAACTACTTTATTATTGTTAACAGTAGTGTTACAAGGTATGCATATATATATATATATATATATATATAGGTAGAATGGAAGTAATATAAATATGTTAATATGAATACTTAAATATACTTAAATATACCTAAATATTCCATACTCATAAATATGTTAATATGCCAATATTATGCTCTCTTTATTATATCAGTTATTATTCTAGTGCAATTTTATTGTTTATAAATAAATCAAATTTCGTTCTCCACATAATATCGAACCTTTTTATTTTTTTAAATGGAGTTGTTTCTCCACCAGCAGTAAATCAGAAACATAAAAAAGATTCGAAACGAACATGCAACATATAAAAACCATATAATTTCCATTTTCTAAATATGAAAATTGTGGGACCTTTAATTATGCGATGAAATTTTATTTTATTTTTTCAATATGCAACTCGTCTGAATTCCATTATAAAAAAGTGGGACCTTTTAATTATGCGACGCTGATTGTGTTAATAATCCATTAATATGTTTAATATTTATCTCAATCCATTAATCTATTTTTACGTTACATATATATATATATATATATATATATATATATATATGTATACTAATGAGGACTAGTGATATGTTTTGACTTTGCTTATAAATAAAATAAAACGGGGAATTGTTCACAAGTCGTTTCACGGTCATATAAACGGCCTTTGAAAATCATATGAATTACACATACAAACATATATATATATATATATATAATATGTATATATGTATATATATATATGTTATAAATAGAAGTTGGTAAGCTACAAGACACGCATTTCATTTTACGTTACTGACGTGAGTGGTAGATTTTATAAGATTTGATATGTGAGTTCCTAGTCGGATACATTATATCCTTTAATTATGCCATTAATCAATCATTTATATAAAAAAAATATATATATAAACACTAAACATTTTTCAATAAATCACTCAAGTAGTGCGAAAAAGGGGAATAAACCATATGTTACGCGTGTGCTAATTTATTGGCTCGAATTTTAAAGATAAAATAAAACTTTTAACATTAACTTTACAAATAAAATATTTGGAATCATAGAGAGTTATAGAGAGTTTGAGTTATCGAATTGAAAAAAATAAAAAATTAGGTTATTATATATTCTTCAAAGATGAAAACATCAATGGAATATTTGCAAAATTAAAAATTTTAAGAAATTGAAGAATAGAAATAATATGAAGTTCTAGCACGTTATACTCAGGATAACATAATAAATTTTTTTAAAAATATCTCTTTTTTCCCTTTATTTTTATTATATGTTTTGAAATATATTTGAAAGTATATACTATTACGGGATACAACTTGAGTTAGTTATATGCAATAATCACCACACAATAATATGTTAACGTGAAACAAAGAGCTTTATTTTTTTTTTTGGAATTTCGAACGGGAAGGCTTTCACTAATTTTATTTAAAATTAATTGTTTTTTATGCATCAAGCAATTTCACAATATTAATTAATTAATTAATTATGAGTGGTGCGCGTGCGTCAAAGTATCATCTTTGGAAATCCCACGACATTAATTTATATACGCAATGCGAGCACGAAGGAACATTAAAATTTACTCTCTTCCCCCCCAATTATTATAAAGATCGGATGTATCAGAAAATGATAGAAAAATCAATAAATGTAATAGCTTTAAAACCAAAAATTTTAATCCAAAAATCACAGAACGAAAATCTCACCAATACTAAAAATATATATATACATATGATATTGAACTATATATATATATATATATATATATTCAAGTTTTTTTTTTGGGGGGGAACACTTCAATATTTTGAAAGACGATTATATCTGAAAACAAACAAAAATCAATTTTGATGATATATTTATTCCATTACACGTCATGTTTAGGTATACATATATATATTAGCTCAATACGTGTACTACTCCATAAAACTAAACACGAAAGCATGAAATTGGTTCAATTTTTTTTTTGGTAGGAGGTGATTTATGAAATTGGTTCAATTTAATATTTATGTATATATATATATATATATAAATAAATAAAGAAATCAATGCATTCCTTTACGGTTTGAGGATATAGTTTATATAAACGACACCATTGAACTTTATAAGATGAACTTCATTGTAATCATATTAAAATTTTAATTCTTTTACACTAATTTGAATATAGGGGTTTCACATCAAAATTTGATTAATATTTCTGACTTATATTGTAAAACGGTACATTTGTTGTTATCTCTATGTTATGTAAACATTTCAGCCATAAGATCAAGGAAGAATCACAAAAAATATGAATTTGGATTTTATTTAGATTATTAATATATAAAGTTATGAATTTTGGAAAAAAAATATTGTTTTAGTAAAATTAAAAGCCTATTATTAAGTAATCTAGTAGAAAATCTAGATTTTATTAATTTTTATATTCATGTATAAAAAACATCCAATCAATAATAAAAATTGGTGATTAGCATGCAAATTGGTGAGTGATTAACAAAATCAACACTTGTTGTGCTTCTTAATTATGTCTTCATTTATATTATTTTTATTTTTATTTCCAGGATTTAATATTTTTATTATATATATATATATATATTACTTAAAAGATACGGAGATGGTGCGGAAAAAGGAAGCTAACGGCGGGAAAGCAACAAACAATGATATTCACACGAAACAATATTATCAAAAAACAAAAAATTAATTTTCTATTTAAATGATTTTTTTAATTGTATTAAACGAATGCTTAAGTTCTATCATTATGTAATATTTTAAAATATTTATGGAAATTCAATGTTGTGTAGAAATTTAATAGTATTATGGAAATTTTATATTTTACGTATTTAGCTGAACGAAAGTACGGTATATATATATATACGGTGTATATATATATATATATATATATATATATATATGATCTTTGAGAGCAATTTTTAAAAGACAAAGGAGGCTAATCTTCTTCTCCTTTTCACATTCTCTCTCCCTCGGGGTTTTTTCTTCGATCATAGGTTGAAAGCATCTGCAGAAGAAAGCTTGAAGGAGAAACATTCTCCATTTCTCCAGATCTGAAGCTTCTTCGATTCAGGAGCTTCGCACAAAATTCCAGGTTCCCTATTCTTCCGCTCTGTTTTTTTTTCTCCTTTTTCGGATCTCCCAAAATTCAAATTCATGAATATGCGTGTGTATGTGTTTGTGTATGCATTGGTTTTCGGGTGATTTGATTTGATTTGAATCTCTCGTGATTTTCGATTTGTCTGGGTAAAAGATATGATCGGAATTAGCGGCGATTGTTTTGTCGTTCCGTGATACAATCTCTGGATTCGATTACTCGCATGTTCCCTATGTTCTTCGCATTTTCCCTCGTTTTCTCATCATCCAAACACTCCCTGTGCGCAGCAATGCCAAAGCAACGACGTCAATTTTCAAAAATTTTATCTGGAGGGACCACTCCTTTCTCTTTTCCCCGCCCTCCTTTGCTTTCTGCTAATTATCTTACTTAACAACTGATTAGGGATAATCAAAGCAGTTAGGCGTTAAACAGTACCCATTACCCAGTCAAGCATTTCACAAATGTTTCCATTTCTGTAAAATATAAATATTGAAGAATTTGCCAAGGATGGAAGAAAAGTAAAACCCTAACTAATTTCCGTTACCAAAAAATCTTTGGATATAATAGATCGAATAAATACCTAACAATGAGATAGATACCGATAAATTAGTATTATATATTTATTACGTTAATTATCTTTCATTTCGACCATTCATATCAATATCCTGTGATTTTCTTAATTAATTAACCTTTTCTAATTATTTATTTTCAAAAAGAACAGAAAATTTACGTTTAAAAAGCTAAAAAGGGAATCTGATGATGGTGCTTAGTACACACGACTTTGCAAGGGAAGAAAAGATTCGTTTTGCCAATTGAATCCGTTCACGTCTCCAAAGGAGCGCATATATTTAATTTATTCATCCCAAATTCTGAATTTGATTCCATATTCTGTTTCTGTAGCACCCAAATTGCTTTTTTCCCCTTATCTTCTCTTTGAGTCCCCCCCCCTAAAAAAAAGTTTTATTTCCTTGTCAAAGAAATATTTTTTGGCTGCTTCCTTGGTTAATCTCCACGCGCCCAAACAATAAAGGTTCGATTTTTTTTTTTTACTTTCTGATTTTTTTATGACCGGATTTCTTGAGGTTAATCTCAAATAAATATTCCTCTAACGACGTTGTGATAGTCCCGTGGTTTACTATTCTTAGATTTTTTTATTTTTTAAACCAGTTTTATAAGAATAATTTCCAGAATAATGTAAACTAAAAAACAAGGAGGTTTTACGATTTGTTTCTCGTTTACGTATATTATACTTTATTTTTCGTTTGTATTTCCTTCGAATATTCCCAAAAACACACACTGCATCTATATTCAAAATCATTGGATGACAAATAAGAATAACAAAAATAATTTCCAATAATATTTTCCTGAAATGTCTACCACTCTAGTGGGGTTTTTTCGATGCGTTATGTTGGTCTAGATTTAAAAAAAAAAAGAAAGATAAATCCGCTTCTGTTGGATTGAAATTTGACTTGGTTGTTTCTCGTTTACGTATATTATACCTGGATTATAGAAAATTTTGTTCTTTCTAAATGGTTCTTGATTGGCATAAATCAGTGCTTGTCTCTTAAGTATGGCATTTTTTGTCTTTTGGCCTAATATTATATTCGCATGGGTCGTACGGTTCAAGGTTGAGATCTCGGGGTTCGGCATAAGACGCTATATATTATTTGTAATGATCCATGGATTGGTTATTCTCGTCGAGGATCTGAATGGTTCTTCTTAGATAAGCGAAAGGAACGAAAAACGTTACCTGCACTACACGCATTCTCTTGCCATGTTTACGAGAAAAGAGAAACGCTTTCTGTTGAGAAATGAGTTCGGTGTGATTTGAGAAACATTACGGATGTTTCTCATGTGGAACATGAATTTTCTTCAACTGGATCCTGGAAATAACATTCGCCCATTTTTGTCCATAGGTCCGCTTTTTAGATTTAAGCTTCTCACCTTGTGTAGAGAAACATGCCCTCTACGAGGAGATTTCGTTCTGCGATTCCTTCGGTTTTTCTGGTTCCGTTTCTATTGTGAAGAGCTCGGTTGTTACCCGGCGAAAAATTCTGCCAAGTGGCTCACAAGGTTTGATCTTTCATGATTTCTTTGTTATAGGTTTGGTCCACAAGGTAGAGTGCTGTCCGAGAGGGTGAGTTCCTACAGGAGTTTCACGCTCCTAAGTTGCCCTCATCGGTCTTAACCAGCTTTTTTCTACCGGAACTGGAGTAACCGATCCAGAGTCCAATATATAATCTCCCCAGGGTCACTATAGTCCGGACGACACGCTGAAGAAATCAGAGATTTCTCATGGATTTTGTCATCTAATCTCATGAAGAGGAGAGGATTTTCCAAGTTTAAAGAGATATGGAGAATGGTACAAGCAGCGGCAGCAGTAGCCGAAGTGAGACCTATGAGGCAATCAAGAACGGGTCATGGTTTAGCCAGTTTCTCAACGGCTGCAATCCCTGGATGGCTAGATATGTATACAGTCTGATTTTTCTCGTGGCGAATCTGCTAGCTTGGGCCATTCGCGATTATGGCAGAGCTGCCTTGACAGTACTGAGAAGTATGTGTCACTCAGGTTTATGTATTATAATTACACGCTCTTGCACCATGAGGAGTTTCGCTTGTTTCTGAATGATGTTACTGTAATGATCTGTGTTTTGATAATTGTTGCAGAACTAAAGATTTGTAAAGGCGAGCAAAACTGCATAGGGGCTGAAGGAGTCCTGCGGATGAGCTTGGGATGTTTTGTATCCTTCCTTATGATTATACAACGCAGCCTCATCCTATATGTTATTTTAAGCTGAATTAAACAATGTCAAACACTATTTTCCTCTCAGTCAGATGAAATTGCAGAAACCTTTTGCCTTAACCGTACTTCAGCTGTTCTATTTCAGTATGTATCTTTCGACTGTTGGTACCAAAAAGGTCCATTCATCAAGAGACCGATGGCATTCTGGGTGGTGGTCTGCTAAGCTTGTAATGTGGTTTGGCTTAACCATCATACCCTTCTCGATGCCTTCTTCAATTATCCAGCTATATGGTTAGACCGACCATCTTTTCCGTTCCACACTTAATGTATTATTGTTAAACAAGGTCATGAACAGTTTTCTCCTCATCAAATCGCGTAAAAGTCTTTGTTCTTTCTTTGCTTGGCAGGGGAAATTGCACATTTTGGTGCAGGGTACGATTTCCATCCTCTTCAAGAACATACACAATTGCTTTCTCTTGGAAGATATCAGTATCCTCATTTTACCTTCTGCTTTGCTTGTTTCTTTTAGGGTCTTTCTCCTGGTACAGCTAATAAGTGTCATCAGTTTCATCTGTTGGCTCAATGAATTTTGCCAAAGCAAAAAAGATGCAGAAAGATGGTGAGATCCAGTGGACTTGTTTCTCATGTTCGCCTAATTCCCTTGAAGATGAGATATTTCTATGAAACCTTTACATTGTTTTCCATTCGATTACGAGCTTACTTACGCTTGCATAAAATTTATTTTGTCCGCAGCCATGTACATGTGATGCTGCTAGCAACAACTGCATACATTATATGTATCGTAGGAATCATCCTGATGTACATTTGGTATGCCCCTGACTCGTCCTGCCTTCTTAATATTTTCTTCATCACGTGGACTTTGTTCCTCATCCAATTCATGACAAGCGTTTCTCTCCATCCCAAGGTGAGTTCCTTTTTTTATATTTCGGTTTGAAGCCTTTTATCCTTTTCCCGACCCTAGTGTAAAATATGTTGAAATGGTTCTTTCTGCCGGCGAATAGGTGAATGCTGGATACTTGACTCCTGCTATAATGGGACTCTATGTCGTGTTTATCTGCTGGTGCGCCATTAGAAGGCATGCTTTATTCACCCTTTATCTTACTTTCCCTGTTAGTATATTTGATTGCACGGTTCTTGTGTTTAGATATATGTATTCTAATTGCAGGCTTTGAACCACTTAATTATGCATGCAATCACTCAGAAAGTTGCAGATAATTCATGTAGAGTAACAGTTTTTACTCGCTGAATCATGAGATTTGAGTACCATTAAAGTTGATACTCATCTCCACGTTTTGTTCTGCAGCGAGCCAGCGGGAGAAAGTTGCAACAGAAAAGCAGAAGCTTCGGAAAGAACAGACTGGCTTTCCATCATTGTAATATTCAAACCTTCCAAAGAGCTCCTTTAGATTTAATGTTTATGTCGCCATCCCACTAAGGTTGGTTTAATATATATGCTTGCAGAGTTTCGTGGTCGCTCTATTAGCAATGGTTATTGCGACATTTTCAACGGGAATAGACTCTCAATGTTTCCAGGTCAGTAGTTTCTATGATCACTGTAAGTGTTTAGACCCTGATTTTCCGCTAAATCCCATGAGAAGAAATTGACCGACGATGACAACAGTTCTGCAGGAAAGAAGATAATCAAGACGAAGAGGCTCTTCCATATGGATACGGATTCTTCCATTTGGTATTCGCCACAGGAGCAATGTACTTCGCCATGCTTCTCATTGGATGGAACACTCATCACCCTATGAAGAAGTAAGTCCCCTCCCAAAGAAATCTTAAATATGCACTTTCTGATACATCAACAAACATAGAGAGAGGAGATAGTATTAAGCTCAAGTAAACGCCCACCCACAGTTAATAGAATTTTGTTCATATTTTCTTGATACTTCAAATAAGGAAAGAGGGATTATAGGGATAGATAGAGATGATAGGGATTTAGATATATTGTAGTGATATGAAGAGGTCATAAGGATACTAATAGTATTGATAGAGATATATAGAAATCCTAATAGTTACAATTTGTAGCCAATAATTTCGAAACCTTGCAAGGAGAAGTTCCGGAGAAGGGGCCACAACACAATGAATATGCTGTTTTTGGACATTCAAGAAGTTGTGAAAATGTATATTTGGAGAAAACTTGAACTTGAAAAACATTTTCAGGTGGACGATCGATGTGGGATGGACAAGCACTTGGGTAAGGGTGGTGAACGAGTGGCTCGCGGTTTGTATTTACAGTACGTAACCCCCCGGAAACTCTTTTTTCATAAATAAGAATTTTACAATGAAATAATGTCATTTCACGCCTCAACATCCAGTATTAATACTGTTACTATACTGTATACATACGTCTGTTACATGAAAACGAAGAATTTCTGAGATTATTTTCACTTCATTTGGGTCACAGTTTGGATGTTGGTGGCTCCATTAGTTTTGAAGAGCAGACAACCAACGGGAGGGACATGACATGACGGGGAGAGCGAGAGAGAAAGGGGATTGCCTCTCTGATGAGAGAGATACATCCACATTTGGTTCCTCGCAGGACAAAAATGGAACGCAGTTTTGAAAACATTCCGACGAAACTCCGGTGAAAAAATGGAGAAAGCTCCGGCGAAGATTGCGAAAGTAACAAACGTTCACATGTGGGGGAGACGTGTCTGATTCTCCAAAAATCTTACAATTACAAGTAGGATATTGTTAGAAATAGAAATAGAAATAGAAATAGGGGGAATCAAATATTTGTACGACATATTTGTACAGATGGTTTAATGAAAGGTGGTGGTGGGTGTAATTAATTAAATAATTAATTTGAAGGTGGTGGGTATAATTAATTTATTTTTCGTACGGAGATTGGGCCAAAAACATGTCTTCTTTTGACATTTAGCATGCGGGTGGTTCTCAACAGATACGCATGATTTTAACCTCAAATACTTTGTCCACCAAAATGATCGAATCTCTCACACATGCATGTACATACATCGATATATATGCTTATACACCCATTTCATACATACATATGAGCAGCTGAAGAATTTGGACAAATATCACATTCAGCTATCCTAAAAGCACTTTAGATTTATTTATTTTTTACCCGAACTAGCAAAGACGAAGAAACTTCTTTTTTTTTTTTTTTTGTTAACGAAAGATCGAAGAAACTTCAATCTAGAAGGAACACCATTGTTTAGTTGCTTACTATACAATTATTCAGACGAAGCTTCTAAAGGGCAAGATGGGAAGATTACAAGCTCTGTTTGTTTATAAAGTAAACCGAGAAGGATTAATCAGTAATCAGTACTGTTATTACTATCCCCACTTTGTTTATAACAAAAAAAAAAGGAGAGGAAAAGAGCTCCAAGAGAACAAATGTCCCGAGATCCGGATTTACCTAAAAGAAGGGAAAACACATCCACGGAGAAATGTTATCAAATAACCTACCAATTCCGTTCAGTTCAATTCAAGACTTGTTAGAATTTGTTTTTACGATGGAATAGTTTTTCGGACCTTTGACCCGACTAGATCCAACTTAGATCCATAAACCTTCACATATAGATCATTTTTTGTCCAAAAATTACATCCTCCCTATCAAATGGAATTGAACGCCCGACGTTCAGACGTTTTGCACCTCGATCACTCATCACCCCATGGTGGGGCAAATCTATTAAAAAAATTGACGAAAGGGGCAAAAATGATGTTTCAAACTCGTCTAAGCAAAAACCAAGATTCAACTTTTGACAAGTTTTGATGGGGGGTCCATATTTTACAGAAGCATACAACACAAAAAGCGAATAGAAAAAGATTTTTTTTTTGGGGCCAAAAGTTGGGGAAAATGTAAAAAGAAGCAACAAATAATTTGTAGCAACCAAAACCAAAGCCAAGACACAAGTCATTTCAGAGTCTCGGACTTATATTACAAGAAACAGAACAACAACAACAACAACAACAAAATTATTTGACAACTCGAAATGCTAGAAAGAATCTCCCCCTAACTCCCCACACCAACACTCCCCCAAGTTTGAACCCTCTCCTTATTTTTTAGTTTCAGGAGTTTACTGCTTTTTAATATAACACCATGCAAATGCAACTCTTACCTCTCCTCCTCCTTCCCCAGGCAAAAACTACGGATCACACCTTGTGTAAAGATCCTTAGAATAACAGTTCCTTCTCGACCGTAATTTAAGAAAACGTAAGTTTTTTAAAAACTGGGATAGGAATGTTTTCTCTCTTACCCAAACGGGTTTCCTCCCGTGGGGAAAGAGGGCGGGTTGGAAGGAGGTCCAGAGAATGGGCCGCTGAAGTGTTGAGTAGTTCCTCCATATGGACCACCTTCTATAGTGTTCACAATGCTGCAAAAACGAGGGCTGCCGCTTTGTTAGGAAAGTTCCATACAAAGATGCAACTGAATTTCCCTCGTAATGCCTCAAAAGATTAAGTTCTAGTTTCTGAATTCTTTCAATCCAGCCAACTAAATGATGCGGATGTTCTATACAAATTGGAATTCATGCTTCTATATTGAGACCAGTCTTAAAATGAGCAACAACAGATTCAACATTATCAAAGGTTTAAGTTACCTGGGTGGCATGTTGCCCGGCATTTGTGGAGACATAAACCCTGAAAGTTGTGGATCGATTGTAGCAGAAGAGACAATGCTTAGTTTACTAAAGAAAATGTTATACAAGTGAAATTAAACAGAGAGGAGGAGCGCATGCTTTACTTGGTGGCAGTGCGGATGGATGACTTGGGACTTGGTAGGATATACCAGATGGAAGATGATGATGTGCTTGGGGTGGCATCGAGGCTTGTGAAACAGTACCAAGGCTTGAAGTGCGGGTCATTCCCATCGGCGGTAAAGCACCTTGGAGAGATGACATCGACATGAACTGAGTTGCCTGTTAACCATTTTTACATCATTTAGGGCATTAAATCTAAATTCATTTTGATAAGAAAGGGATAACCTAGTAACTCTCAAGCTAACTCATTGCAAGAGTGTTCGTAGGTGCTCCAATCAACGTGCCATGGAATGCCAAAAAGCAATTTGGAACAGTACTCAGTTTTATCCGCTAGAAACATTACAATTAAAAAAACATGCATTTCGAGAAGATACAAGGCCTTGGAAAATTATTTCAATAGAGACTGGTCAAACAAAAAAAGAGCGCGTACCGTCTGTGTTTGTGGAGTTGGTTCATTGCCAAAGTCAAAAGGGTTCATTGACTTCGGTGGCTGCTGAAAATTCTGGAACTGCGTAGACAAAAACGCAGATGATCGATCATGAGAAAATCACAAGCAGGCAGAGGGGCCACCTCGGTGAAATTAAATGTGAAATAAAAACATATCAAAAGAAATACCATGGCGGTGTTATACTGCTGCATGCCAAAGCCCATACCATGAGGTGGACCAGCTTGCCATCCATGTGCTGCTGCGTGATATGATGGGTAGGTTGCAGTGAATAGATCCTGCAAAGAAGCTGGTAAATTATTTCGGAGTGATACGTGAGTATATGACAGCCAAGTGTTTGAGCAAATTGATTACCACAGGCAGTTCTTTTCTTCCAGAAGGTTTCACTTCAACACCAGGAGTGGCCTCTTGAGAGACTCCTTGAAGTGGTTGCAGAGCTGGTGCACTCTGGGATCTTTGTACATTAGAGACCAGGGTTGTGTTCCATGGCTGCAGAAAAGATTCAATAATCATAATGCCATGCCGTGAATAAAAATTTCACCTAGAAAGGAGGTGAGTTCTATTTAAATTTTGAGGATTCCATAATGAAGTACCCACCTGATTTTTCGAAGGTCCGTTCTGAGGTGGCACCATATTTTGGGGCGTGGAATAACCGACATGCATAGGTAACAATGAAGGAGACTGCTGCTGGACATTAGGCCATTCCTGACCAAAAGCTTGAACAGAAGTGCTGCTAACTGGAGCTGTACTATTTCCAGCACCAAAGCATGAAGCAGAAACAGGAGGACTTGCAGGAAAGGCAGTAGCATCTATTGAAGCACTGGCCCCGCTAGGCAGTCCTGATGTCTGAACTGGGACTGAAGAAGGAACTGCCAACTGAGACAGAAGCGAATCCACCGTATTCCCATTAGCTGGAGCTTGAGATAAAGTTGTGCTCGGGATTGGGGCAGTATCAAAAGATGCCCAATTGTTATCAGATGAAGTTGTTGACTGCACAACAGGCTGAGGAGCTGTTGATTGCTGCATTTGTGTTGAGGCAGGAGGTTCAGGGTCGGCATCAAAATCAATCAGACTGACAGAAGTTTCCACCTTCACTTCTGGGGGATTCTCATTTGCGGAAGATAAACTGCTCGATGATACAGTTCTCTGCAATAGACCAACACGAAGATCAACATTCTCTTTCTTCCCTAGACTTAAGATGATGTTACTATTTCAATATGCGTGGTAAAACAGCTATATCGATGTATGTATCAATGGCAGAGCTCACAATAAGTAGCAAAAGTTCAAGAAAAGGATCGATGGCTCTTATTACTTCAGAACTTATAAAAACTCCACAAAAGAAGAAGCCAAACCTTCGCATGTGCCGAAGCATCAGTATTTCTGTTACCATCGGGTTTTGGAGGTTCGCCAACACGAAGAGGAACTACACTGTCACCCAAAATCTCCCGAATAGGTCGAACCACTGGAGGGGGGGATGAACCCAAGTTTTTTCCTTGATCAGGAGATTGGGAACCCTCTTCAGATTTTCTTCCACTTCCAAATCTATCCTCTCGGCGCCAATCATTTACAATTTCTGGACGAGAGGGGCTTCTGGTGTAATCACCGAATTTCCTGCTACCTGGTTCGAAGCCAGGACTTCTGCCTCCTGCATCTGACCTGTCACTGTAACGGCGGTCATATGCATCTTCATATTGTGGACTTTGAGCGCCACTAGGACTCCGAGTTCCATGAAAATCATTTTTGTCGCCCTGCAGAATATAAGAATAAAAGGAAACCTGAAGCTGGCAGACTGTACTAATTAATAAAGATAAAAGGAGACTAGTCTTCTACAACTAACACTAAAGCCTGCTTGATGCTTTTATGATAACAAAGGTTACTGTATGTAATGAAGTACATCATGTGGACCACTGAAGGTTTGTCTAAAACTAAAAGAAACCAATAACAGAAGAAAACATGCATATTACCATCTGTCCCCTTGGAGGCTTGTCATCATTCTTCTCACCCATGTATCTTTTATTTACATAGACATGTCTAATGAAATCACGCAGCCGCTCAACATTACTAAAAAAAAGAAAGGAAACAGATCAGAAACCCTAAACATTGTAAAAAAAATCAATTATACAGCGAAAGATTTGTAATACCTTCCATCAGGTAATGACTGACGTTGTAGATCAAATCCTTTAAAATAAATTTCCTTAGCACGCTGTCATGGAAAATTTAAAGTAAGACCCCCAGGAAAATAACTCTTTATCATCAGAATGAAAAGAGAGGGACATTGTTAACACCTGATTTCCTCCTTCTTGTAGTGCACCAACTTCTTGTGAAGTAAATTTGGCCATTGATACAGATTTAACGCGGTGGGTAAACTCACGACTGAAAAATATCCATGCATACATCAACCACAATCAAAACCTTACATACAGGAATAGTAGATATACTACAGAATCGAACACTTACTGTATTCCGCTGCAATTTGTACAAACAAAAGTCCAGAAAGTAGTGCAAACATATTGTGGTCCCTGTTCAAGCAGGAAGAAGAAATTTTAGACAACCCCCAAAACCTTATGTCTGCTATTTCACATGAAGAGAGTTAAAAGAGAGAGTAAACTCACCAGGCTGTTGCAGTTAATACACCTCTTGTTCTCAGGAAGTTTGAGAAGACCCCTAATAACCCGCTCGTTCTTCTCGTCTTCTTTCAGCCGGCTAGCCATTTTCTGCTATCAACACCAGCTACCACTGCATTGCAGAAAACATACTTCTTAAGAAAGTTTCCCGGAAGCTAACTTTTCTCCAAACCCTACCCAAAAATCACCATATGTGCGCTTCTTAATTATCGGAATTCTGAAGAACTGATCGCTTGTTCCAATCGAATTCCTATTTTCAATTGTTTGAATTCAATAAAATTATGGAACTCAGACACCACTAATTCTCACCACTAGTTCCATAATCGAGTTCAAGACAATTGAAAAAACTGTCTCGGTAACTCCAACACCAGAAACTAACGCATAAATTCCAGATCAAATTCCACTCCAGGCACAACAAACCACATATCGGGAATGATTAAAGAACCAATAAGAACCACGACCGAGCACAGAGAAGCATTCAGATCTAAGGAATTCTAGACAAGTCAAAGCGAAAACAACGACAGAAACTGATAAACCCTACCAGATTCAGAAGAAATGAAGTATTCGGAAAATCGAATTTGCACAAACCTGAGGTTATCCCAAAAAAATCACCTCCGCGATTATACGTTTTCAGCTTTGACGGCGATCCAGAAGTTTCCTCTTCCACCTCTCTCTCTCTCTGGTGAAGCTGTCACATAAATTACTCTTCCTTTAACAGAGAGAGAAAGCAAGAGAGAGAAGGGGGGGGGGTTTGTACAGCTAAGAACTAAATGTTCCGCTTTACCAAAGCTAGAGAGAGATTGTACAGTAGAGAGAGAGAAGCGAACGGCGAGGTAATAACGGAATTTTGACGACGTTACGTGTGGAATCTTCTTGTCCAGGCGTGAATTTGACGGCTGCGGTCTCTTCCGTTGAAGTTTGACGGAGAATGGTCCGGGAGAAGTCATTAACAGCGACTAATTGTTGTAATTATCCTGATTTTCGCAGATAATTACTTGATTCTCGGTGAATTGTCGAAAGAGTTTACTAATTGTTACTGCCAGCAAAAATAAATTAAATTACATTTGCATTCGTATATCATTATGCCGAATTTCTCATCTTTCATCCCCAAAAAAAATTAAAAAAAATAAATAAAAGCAGGTTGTATAAAGTATATGGGCTTTAGGCCCATTTTAGCTGAAGCGAAAGCCCAAATTCCTTTGAAAAACAAAACTCGTGCTTGAGCCCTAAATTAATATCTTACTCTACGACGTCTTGTCGGACGCCGGAGCCGCCATAGCGCCGCCACCGCCGAATTTTCTTCCTCCGATTATATTTCCGGCGGATGGTGACGATTCTTCCGGAGGAGGTCGATGAAGGATGCGGAGGAAGGATCGTCTTAGCGGTGGAAGATAAGTCGGAGACGGCATGAACTCGTCGGAGCTGTCGAGAGAGTCACAGCTGATTCCGCCTCCGTCACCGTCGGGTCGGCGGAGGCTTAGCGGGTTGGATTCCGGGTCGGAGCTTCAATTTCGGGTACGATTCGCCGTCTTTAATCCGTCGTTACCGTTAATCAAAATTGCACAGCTGGCTCGAAACATAACGGAAACGGCTAGACGGACGTTAATGAGAGCCAGACACCCAAAACTTCGCCGTTTTGGCTATCCACGGCAAAGTTTCGCGCGCGATCCCTTTTTAAGCTCCATGTAATTTTTAATCTCCTTGTATTGCATCTTCCTTCGTTGTTTCTGAAAAACTACAGTTCGAAATCATCAAGAAAGCTGACATTTTAAGAGGGGGAAAACTTGGAAGAAACCGAAATCACCATAATCTTCGAGGATCGATCAAGGGTCTTCATCGTGTTAGAATTCTTTGATCGACTAGGGTTTTGATTCGATTTCTCAGAATCTGGGTTCTTCCCATTTCCTTCTGGGTCTTCGTTTTCTTGAGATTGAAGCATCATCATCATCCATGGTGCATCGTAGAGGTAAGCGAGCGAGCAGAAACAAGGCCAATGTGCCTTTGACAAGGCCGAGAAGAGAAGGGAAATACTCAGATTATTCGGATGCGAATTGGGGTTGGGAAGAAGATGAACTCAGAGAATACGCTCGTGAACTCAGAGAATCTGAAGATCATTTCGGACAGAGCAGGTAATATTCTTGTTTGTTCGGATTTGCTGAAAGTACTCAGAATTTCAAGAAGATTATCTGGCGTTGCCTTGAGACGGGTAGGGACCGAAATGATATAACGAAGTCGAATCATGAATTTTTTCTTTAGTACCGTCGGTTAGTTTATGGTTCATCAATTGTATAGGTCGCACCAGAATGCTCGTGGAGTGGAAGTTGGCTCGCTGATTGATCAGAAAGAACCCGATGATCAGTTCAGACAGAACCGTGGAAGACGGAACATGCCTTACGGTGGTGGTTCTAGACTGAATCTCGGCGGACAAAACCGGTGATTCTTGTTCTTAGCTCTATGCTCTATGAGAATTAAAACAGATTTTTGGAATTTGGATAAAATATATGGTGCCTATTTCTCTCCACAGGTTCAACCAGAATCCTCAAGAAAAGAAGTGTAAGAACCAAGGACTAGAGATGAACAAGAAGTTCGAAGAAATGGATTTGCGGGAAAGATATAAAAAGGGATCAAAGGTAGACAAAACCCGTAAAAGTTCTGATCTTCGGAGCATTCGAGAAAGCCCGTGTAGAGGACACGAGCAAATTGCTGCGTACCGAGAAATGGATAGTAAACTGGAGTGAGTTTTTTGTATAATTTTCGATTGAAGATAACATTCTCTTGTTCAAGTTTCTGTCTGAACCATCCTGATTGTTGCTAAATTTTCCAGGTGGGGAAGAGTCCAGAAAACTTCAACAGATGGTTCTGCAGATTCGAGAAGGCCGAGAAGAGAAGAGGGCTACTCAGCTTTTCCCGAGGAGGACGAGAACAGTGATCGGGAAGAAGACACAGGAGAAATGTACAAAGACGATGATGGAGCTCATCAAATGGAATTTGAGCCGAAAGATTGGAAAGGAAAGGGGATGATGAACTATCAAGAACCTGATGATCATTTTAGACCAAATCATAGCAGGTAACTCTTGTTTGCATCTAAATAATCTGCATAAGATACCAAGAAATATACACAGCATCTGAAATTGTGATAATAGATACAAAATCATTCAATTTTCGGTAAATCTCGGTTCCATTATCAATTCATCAATGGTTCATAAATTGCATAGGTCGAAGAAGAACCATCGACAGAATCAAGAAAGGTGCGAGAAGGCGGCTCCGAGTTCTGATATGAAAAAGTCTGTGCCGCAAAAAATGCGTAGGAGCTCATATTCGTCGAGTAAACGGGAGTAAGTTTATTACAACTTTATGTTTGAAAACATATTTGGTCCTACCGTTTTTTTTGTCCGATACAATCCTGTTATTGCCATCCTTCTCTAGGTGGAGAAAAATCCGGAAAGCTTCAACCGCCGATTCGATGTCTCGGTAAGTCGCGTGGAATTTCCCTACGATGTTCTTCCTTCGCCTTCTTGCGATATGCTCCCCGTATTTACTCGACAATCTGAGCAGGATATTGCCTCAAACTTCACCTGTACAGAGACAGACAGTAACTGGTGTTCATACTTCGGATTCAACCAGAGAATCTATGTCTCCTTCTGCAAATGCTGGAGGTGGCTTTGATCAGAATCATAATATGTCGGCTGATCGTAACTTTGGGGATTTGCCATTGTCAGGCTATAATGTTCAGATGTCCTCCTTCCATTCTAACCAGTTTGCACCTTGGAGAAACATGCCTGATGATCCATTCAGACAAGAATATGGCCATGAATCACCATCAACCTTTAACAGGCAAGCGCGATCTATCTTTCCGTCGTCCCGGCTTAACCAATTGCCTTCTCAAATGCTGGAGCATCACCCCGGGTTTATGTCCAGTCCTGTTTAACCCTTATTCCGGTCAACCTTCATTCCCGACTTGTTACATTCTCAACCCGAGGACATACTGGTTTCACCATCCTTCACAGGTTCCGAATCACGGGTTTGACCGTCGTTTGACCGCTACATTTCAGCCTCGGTTCGGATCGCTCTCTCCAGGCTTGCTCGCGCCACAGTCGCAGCCGTCCACGGCTAACCGCCCTTCACAAGGTTTGCCTTGGAGACAACAGCCAATGAATGCTCTCTACTTTGGAACTCATCCTGTTCCATTTGTCCCGTTCTTCGGTATAATCTCTCTGAATTTCCCATGACTTCTGCTTCTTGAATCCTTCCTTCCTTCTTTTCCTCACCAATGCCGTAACATTATCAGGGAAGGGGCTTCAACCTCGTACCGAAGATGCTCCTGAATGATCCGTACCTTCTGTTCCTCGATCCTTTTTTTTTTGTGTTTTTCATCTCTGTAAATGATGTTATCTTAGATTTGTTTTGAACATCCATTAGATTTTGATACGTTATCCTTCTTATGAGCATCATCATAGTTCTTATGTGCTTAATGTTTCTACTATATGTCGTAATTTTTCGCCCGATTTATGTAATATTAAATATAAGGGTATGTCTTTTATTGCGTATATAATCCCGGGTTTGCATCAAAATGTCTCCTTTCGTTCCCGTTGTTTTTAATTTCGATTAAATTTGAGATTAAACTATAAGGATGTTTTTTTTTTCTTACTTGGGGAAAATAAATATAATTCCATATACTTTGCTCCCTCGGACAATCAACAAGGTGTCGGTGGATGAATCTACAAGTCTCTTGGGATTCAAAGCTAAGTTAAACTTGTAACGAGACAAGGTGGAAAAATAAATAAATGTTATGTTTTGTTTTTGTTTGCTGCTTCTACGAATTCCTCGTATATATAATAATAATCTCATACATTGGCTTGTTCCCTTTTTTTCACTTTTGTCCCAAAGTTTTTATTTCCCAATGGTGTGTCAGGCGGTCCATTAGAGAAATAAATATTGGACATCTTATGAATGTGAAATTATTATTATTATTATTATTGATAAAAAAAAAATCTAAGAGACATCGCCGTAGATGGACCTTACTGGCTCTTCAGAAAAGTGGTTGTTATTTTATTTATTGTCTTCTCCAAAACAAAATTTAACACCAATGCATTTTCATTTCTTTTTCCAAATTAATTTATCAAATTGTGAATTCATGTTCCTTTTTTTGTAATTTAAAGATTATTCTTCCTTATGATAAGGAGAAACACTGTACTAGTAGTAGGGTGGGCAATTTCAGTACCGAACCGAAAATTGAACTGTCCAAAATTTTTGATTTTTTTTTTTTATAAAACCGAATTTTGCAGAAATCAATCGAAACGAACCGAATTTTTTAAAAATTTGAAAAATCTAATTTTTTTTTAATAAAAATCGGAATAATGAAACAAATCGAAACTGAAATCAAGTCGAATTGAATATGATATAATAAACTATTGATATATATTTTTATAAAATCGAAAAAACCAAATCGAATCAATTCTAATCGAATCCGAACAGAACATCGAAACATCCATAGGTATAGTATGAGTTTGGATATGTGATAAACAATAGTGGCTTTAAAAATATTGGAATTGGAAACTTTTATAAAATAAAAATAAAAATGTTACGTTTAGAAGGTCCACAATCCACATGCAATTGGGGTTAAATAGTCAACATTTTATATCATTTTTTTTTTTTAAATTTTGGTGAAGTGAATATAGCTCGGTAGCCAAAGAAGAGACAAGACAGAAGCCTTGATAGACCACTCCAACTATTTGGTAGGTCCATTTTTTGCAGTGAACAAAATATGCAATTCGATTTTGTTTTTCGAAGTCTCGGAGATAATACAAAATTCCAATAATTCATACATTTTGGAATCTGCAAAATGATATATTTGTAATATGTTATCTTTTTTCACATTTTAAGCATATCCTTGCATAAATTATAGTTAAAGTAATAATGATTTTTTTTATTGGTAAAAAAAGATATATTCTCTTCCATTCTTTAGATTATAATTAGGATAAGGTTTTATTATGTATTCGATCTTGGTTATTTTATTTTTATCTATTTATTATATTAGATTTCTATTCGATTGGAATTCATGTTTAAATTAATTTTAGTAAAAAAAATATGCAATTTTAAGATCTTTTATTTAAGAGTATTTTAACTTAATCGATTTTGATTAAAAACCCATATTTAATTGATTTTAAATCATTTAAGCATAGGAAAATCACGATTTATTATATTATCTTGTAATTATGTCGCATTATTTCGACTTTCATTTTGATATGGTTTATATCAGCCTATCATTGTTATGTTTCTATCGGCTTTAAAGAAATGCGGATATTCAAATTCTTTTAATTTTAATTTACATATATTGTTGAAATGCGCCAATGAATAGTCACTTAGATATAGTTGTTATCAATCCCATCGATACCAAATAAAGAAAGAGAAGGAAACAAGTGTGTGTGTGAGCACATGGACCAACTGTGCTTTAGAAGGTGACCAAATGCGTTCATGCAACATAACAAAATAGCAAAATATATAATATAAAACCCAAATTAATTATTATATATATATATAAATAATTGTGTAATATAAAACCCAATTTTCAAAGCATATAAACTTTGGAATCAATTGTGATTATTAGTTGTATAATGATATCATAACATATTTTTCTTTACTAGTTTATATATATATATATATAATATATTCATTAATATATATAACACATCAAAACAACACAAATAACAAGAATTTTTCTTCGATTTTTTTTAAAAAAAAGGTGGACCGACTCAATTGGGTCATGCCACCAATAATTGTGGGGCGGTGTGTCCCTATTTTATTTATTTTATTTATTTTGAGAATATTAATAATTAGAATTCATGACATTAGATTGATAGACAGCTTCTATTTTTCCAACTCCTTTCTACTCATACTTGTTTCAAATCATTCGATCTTGTCCGTACACTTGTCTTAATATAAATTTTTGCATCCATTATAAAATTTCAAAGCATATATGCTTTGGAATCAATTGTGATTATTAGTTGTATAATGACATCATAACATTTTTTTCTTCACTAGTATATATATATATATATAATATTCATTAATACGTGAAGAATACATATTATCTTAAACAATAATAACATCAAAATCGGATCAAACAATGTTTATTCTTAATTAAAAGTTTAAGACGTATGGGAATTTCCATTGATTTGGTTTGCTAAAATCGCATTTCTTTTATTCAAATAATAAATAATGTTTGTAATAATTAGAATAAAAATAATGGGGAAAATATAGATGATGAGGCTATATAGGGAAATGATGGAGCGTGGGATAACTATTAATGAGAAACAAGACGGTCTAATTAATTAGCATTTTTTTTGGCATGCAAAGCATAATAATCGCATATTTATCTTCACGTGATTTATCCCTAAACTCTTAAGCGATTTGGCGTGTAATCAAAGATATTTCGCCCTTTACTCTCTATTTTTCATTTATTTTCTTGACGACCAAACCATTAAAACAAAAAAAAAAAGTTACCAATTTTTTATAAATTACAATTTTAAATAAAGTTATATTATCATTGGTTGAGTTTCTTTGTGTATATATATCATGCACATATACATTTATAGAAGTTTACAATAGAATATGTTAATAAAGTAGAAGGCAGATCCAAAATAGATGGCATTATTTTGGTTTTATTAGAACATACACGAAATTAATGTGATTTTTTATTTATATATCAAAATAGTTAAAATAATTAGCCTAAATCTATCAATTTCATTTAAATAAATTTCGGCACTGGTTGGGATCTTTACATATATATAATCGTGTCCCTTCGAATATATATGGAGTTATTACAATTTACTGGTATTAAATAGCGCAATCATATATAGTTTTTATTTTGTTTTTTACTATTTTTTGTTATAAATAAAAAAATGTAATAAAAATAAAGGAATTGAAAACGGCAGCGGCGAGAGTAAAGACAAAAGAGAGAATGCTTATCCACTCTTCAATCAATGATTTAAATAAATTACAAGCCACACTAAATTAAGCCTTGCATCCGTCACATGCCTCGCCTCGTCACACTATTCACTAAACTTTATATTCATTTTTTAAAAATACTTGTGAACCAAAATGAAATAAAAATGCGTTGATGTTGGAGAGATTTTGAAAGTGATCAAATAAAATATCTTTTTTTTTTAAGTGGTTATAACAAATCTTAGTTTATTAGAACGTATTAAAGTTTATTTCGTTAGAGTTTGAAAATTATTTATTGTGACCTATTTAATAAAAATCGAGATTAAATATTTTATTGTCAATTCGGTATTTGAATTGTTTTTCTTGGATTTTTGTTTTACTTCCAAAATATGATTTCTTTTCGAGACTTTTTGTCCAAAACACAAAAAATATCAGTTCGAAGTTCAATGAAAAGGGGCATCGTAAAATGCAAATAAATAATAATAATAATCGGAATTTTTATTTATACGAGTGTCACGGTCCATTTGTATCGTAAAGTGACTATGGTCGTGAATATTTAATTGCAGTTGCACAAATGCTTTAATACAAAGTATGAGAAGTGACAAGATTAGGGTTAATCTAATGATAGATTCAACATTGTAATTGATGAATACATTAAATCCCACGATACTACATCCCATTAGTCTCTTAGAGTAGCTTTTCCCACGTTTGACTTCTCCCTCTCTCTCTCTCTCTCTCTCTCTCTCTCTCTCTCTCTCTCTCTCTTACAGTGTAACCACAAGCAAGTGTCTCTCCAAGAGATTCTCTCCAGATTTTAACGTAAACCCCAGATTTATATATATTGTTCTTCACCGGAGATCATCTCTCTCTCTCTCTCTATAAACCCAGTTCTTGATTCTTGAATTCATGGTGGGGATTGCAATGGGGAAGCTCCTGAAGATTGGGAAGGTGTTGGATTGTCTGTTGCTTCCGACAAATCAGTGTTCATGTTTCTGTATGAACACTCTCGACAGCGAAGAAGATGAGTTCGAGAAGAAGCCTCTTATTCCCATGACATTGAAAGATGTTGTCTCTGGTGAACAGACTTTGGCTTTTCACCTTAAGCCCAAGGTACAAATTATATATACATACATATGTATGTATGTATGTGTGTGTATGTATGTATGTATGTATGTATGTATGTATGTATGTGTGTGTATGTATGTATGTATGTATGTATGTATGTATGTATGTATGTATGCATGTGTGTATGTATGTATGCATGTATGTGTGTATGTATATATGTATATGTGTGTATAAACGATCGATATATATATATATATATATGTATATATATAATCATGCATATCTCTTTATGTGAAATATGATATTGATTTTTTGACAAAAAAAAATTGATATTGAAACATACATATTTACTGGGGGCATTATCAAAAATACCCTTATTTTACTAATTCTATTTCAAGACCTACCCTTGTGATCAATGTGACCGAAATATAGTGTGGTCACATATTGATTTCATTGTTCATAACGTTAAATTTATGGTGTTATTTTAATCAAATGATTAGTAAGATATACAAGGTATGAACATAATGAATTAGTGTGATCACCATAAATTTAACGTTATAATCGATAAAATCAAAATGTGACCATACTATATTTCGGTCACATTGGTCACATACATGGTCACAAGGGTAGATCTTGAAGTAGAAATAACAAATTAAGGGTATTTTTTATATAATGGCTATTTACTGCTTACCGCTGTTTGGGGATTCGACTACTTTGAAAAAAAAAGGACATGTATTATTGAGATCATGGTTTGAACGTTGATGGGTTGATGGGATCTAAGTCGTTTCCTAATATAAGATTAGCCCAATATATATATATATGTATGGATTTCTGTTTAAATTTAAAATAATATATTATTGTCGAGCTTGTTGATGTGTATATGCAGGTGGTGGAGCTAAGGGTGTCTATGCACTGTTATGGATGCGCCAAAAAAGTAGAGAAACACATTTCTAAATTAGATGGTAATTATAGATTTACCGAATTCAGACGTTACAAAATCGAATTATTGTTATTTAGAAAATTTATTAATAAATGAAATAATGAAAAAAAAAAACAGGGGTGACATGGTACAAAGTAGAGCTGGAGAGCAAGAAGGTGGTGGTGAAGGGGAATATACTCCCATTCGAGGTGTTAGAGAGTGTGTGCAAGGTCAAGAATGCTCAGCTTTGGTCCTCTTGATTCATTATCCATCCACATGCCCATTGTCCCTTCCGTGCATGTTCCTCCTCATCATATATATATATATATATATATGTATGTATGCATGCATGTATTGATCATGCATTATATATGTATCTCTTGTGTTCCTAGGAACAGGATGGATTCTATATGTAATGTCTAGATCCATAGTGTAATGATCAAATTGCGGAATGAGTTATTTTCATGTAAGATTGTAAATTGTTCTCGATTTCGCGAATTATGTATTAGAGATATCGAATATTTTAAAATTTTATACATCAGTTTTGATATTTATTTAATATATTTTATATTTATATAATTTTTTTATAATAATTAATTAATTATCGAAATCAGTCTATCTATCTTTATACTCATGAATTATTTATTTTTTTAATATAGAAGCAGAAATAAATAATAGAACGGTTTCTTTTCGTCTATCTTTTGAATTTGAATGATGTATAAATTGTGTTTGTCTGGCCACTCAATCTAGAAGTGAAAATAATGTATCACCCATCTCATTTCATTAAAAATGGTTGGACATTTTATATCAATATAATAGTATACTATATACAATAGACTGTATTATAAGATTCGGCTAATTTCTTTTTTAAAAATATATATACTAATTTAGATTTAAAAAAAAATTGTACTACATATTGTCCTCCATGGACCAAAGTCTCGTGCAAGAATTTGTAACATGTTCGAAATTACATTTGTAATGGATCATCCTCAATTCCACAAATAATTTAATTCATTTGGACTCGGAATTAACTATTGAATCTTTCATTTTTTTTCCATTTAAACCTATTTAAATTACTCTAATTCACACAATTTATAAATTAGATTTCAAACTCAAGTGAAAAAATAAATAAAAAATGCTAGAATTGGGCCTGGGTCTGGGCCTGATTAAATATAATAAGAGTACAACATTTGAACCCAACCCAATATAGTTAGCCAGGTCAGATTTACTGCGCGTGCACTCCACCCGCATTCCACGTCAAGTATTTTCACCAGTTTCTTTCCACGTCAGCACATGGGAAGGTTGACCCCCTCAACACACGCCTCGACGCGCTCAGGATGCGCGTGCGTCTCAGTTCCCATCTCGCAGTCTTTGCATTGACGTAAACGAGAGGCCGCGAGATTCATATTTTTTCTATCTCCCTTTTCCAGACGAACGGAAAATCAACAACGACAAAGCTCTCTGGGTTTCGACATAGTTTCGGTTTCCGACACCAAATTCTCTCATGGGTTCGCTGTCGTCTCGTGAAAACCCTAGTTTCTGGGTTATTACCCAATAATCTACAGGTATTCATCATATTTTACCTGGCCCCGATCCTTGTTGTCTCGATTTTGGGTCTTTTCGGCCCCGTTCTCTCGATTCCGATTATGTAAATTTTGTCTGCTTGTGTGTTCTTTCGTCTTTCTCTCTGGGCTGTGCATAATTCGTCTTGTGGGTTTTGTTTATGCTTCAATTCGCTATTTGATTTGGATGCCATTATCAAAAGGACTTATTTTTTCGTTGAAGTGACGATTTTTTGTGTTGATTTTGATGGTTTTAGCATTTGCATCAGCTGCAGTTTCCCATTCTTCCTGCATTGTGCTTTCCATGACGCTCTTGCATCTTATCTTCTACTGTTTTGTTGTTCTTGTTTTTGCTGGAAAACCTTTATCCTTAATTATATGATTGTCTTCACACTTTAGTCATGTTTTAGGGCACGAGTCAGTGATTATGTGAACAATGTTCCCTTAAATTCGGACGTGGATGAGTAAAGGAACGATCTTTAGGAAAATGCACAATGTTTCCCGGTTAGTCGTTGTATTTATCACCCTGCCTACTCGGGCAGGACCATAACAAGATAGCACTGAGTCATAATACAGGCCGGTTGTGCCAGATCATCGAATTCTCCTTTGCATTCGTCGGTATTCTCACGCGTGTAAAAATTGTTGCCACATTAGAACATTCCTAGTTTACCTAGCAAATGAAGTGGAGCTGTTTGTGGAACTTCTGTGGGTTTTTTTTTTTCTCAAGTTCTGTTCGTAATTTGAATTAGAGGGTCAAGAGAAGTTAAGGTATTATTGAGAAATTTTCTGAGCTTGTTCATTATGGTGTGAGGTTAGTACGAAATAAATTGGAAATCTAATGGTTGGAAGAAGAATTGCAATGGTTATCTTTGCGATGGGAGTGAAAGGAGAATGGCCTTGAACTTAAAAAAAAAACATCTTTTCTCACAAATGAGCCTAGACTGATCCTTGACTCTTCAAGAGTGTTGTCTGCGTATTTGTGATTTACCCAGTTGTTGGATGAATTTAAAGGGTGGAAGAAAATCTTTATTCGATTTTGATCAGTACCCAAACGCTAGAGAATGCTCTTGTGTTTGCTTGTAGATTTTAATAAGAGTTTTGGCGAAACGTTTACATAGAAACAACAGCGGAACGGTAATTTATTTACCCGAGAAATATAAGATGATTCTGTTTGCTTTCTTTCTCGAATTCATCGATCAAATGTTTTTATATTAGATTTTCTGAAGTTTTGTTCTAATTCTTCGTTATAAGGAGGAGTACTAAGCCTACTATTGTTCATTGATAATTTCTGGATCAACTTAGAGAGTGAACTGGTCAGTGTATCTGTCTTCACTGCATGTGGCTTCCATGTTTTTGCCTTCTGCAGATTCTAATTCGTAATTTTCATTTGGTCGTGTTCAAAACCAAACCTCTTCGTTCACAACAAAAGGACATTAGTTTGATTATCAGTGCTATTTTGACCACCCGTTTACGGTTACATCTCCTCTCAGACTCCCTTCTCTTTCAGGTTATATCTTTTTCGTTGATGTCACTTGCATTAGCATCGCATTTTTCCTGAGATCCATGACATTTTATTTTCCGGTCATATGTTCTCCTTTAGATTACTGCTGTTGAGTTCTTGGCATATATGGAAGAAGCATTTGCCCCCTTCAGGCTAGTGCCATAGTTGGAAATTTCCTAACCTGTCGATTTAATTTCATTTTGGTTGCTATTTCATTCTATAAACCGAAAAAGGGTCGTAGATGGATTTCACATCGTGGCCTTGACTCTTATACCAATTAAAACCTAAATTTCATTTGTCTCTCTGTTTCCTCCGCCACATTTGAAGAACGATATTTCCTTTAATTCCTCTGTCATTCTCCATGTCGAATTCCCATGGTTTGTTTTCTTTTCCTTGCAATTTTTTTTATAGAGGCTTCTTGTTCATTCAAATGATGCAGATATCTGAAAAAGAACCCTCTTTCACAAGGGTTCGAATGTTTTGCTTGAGTAATATCTATCGTTTCCTCTTGGTTTTTTTCTTCGATTTTGGGTATTTAAATTCAGTATAATCTCCAGGATTTAGTGTTAGTGAATAGTTTAATTGGAAGGTTTGAATTCTGACACTTATGGTCTATAGATTACTTGCAGAATCCCTCTCCTGTCATTTTCTCCGCAGTTTCTTCATTTCTAGGTTTCTGGGTTGTAGATAATGCTCAGAAGCTTCTGCATGTACATTAAGAGACAGAACATGTTAGATGATTCTCACATGTCTTTGTTATTCATATGTATAGACAGAGTGATACACACATACATACACCATTTATCACAATTTTTTTTCTGATGATGGCATGCATTTAGCTTAGTTAAAACAGTTGAAACCCGAGGCTTACGGTTCATGAGAAAGGCTGTGTATTAGATATGGATGCGGTTGTATATCTCTATTAATCAAAATCAACACTATGTAGAAAGGTTATGAATATGCATAACTCTTTCATATCAATGATGCCAAACAATATATCTTATGTTTATCTGCTTTGTCTTTCTTGCAGGTTGGAATCCGGAAAGTGTCATTGTATCCGGGAAAGATGGGAAGGGGGAAAGTTCTGAAAGAATCTCGAAACCCGTTCTGGAATTTCTGATCCCTGCTTCATCGAGCAAAATTCTTCTGACTAAAACCCGTAAGAAGAAGAACAAGAATAACGCAATTTCCTCGAAAACAAAGATGTCACAACACCGAAAGGCAAGCAACAAGGCAAAGAGGAGCAATGAGACTCAAAACCCTAATGGAAAACAGCCTAACGGGAAACAAGACGACGGTTTCAGACCCGAAAATGCAACCTTGTCATCATGGATCTGCAAGAACGCGGCCTGCAGAGCTTCTCTACCCATAGACGACCCTTTCTGCAGGAGATGTTCGTGCTGTGTATGTCATAAATTTGATGAAAATAAGGACCCGAGCCGGTGGTTGGTTTGTGAGCCCGAACAATCTGGTGAGGCGGATTTCTGTGGCTTATCCTGCCATCTCGAGTGTGCCTTTCTACAAGATCATGTCGGAGTTTTTAGTCTCGGAAAGGTGATGAGCCTTGATGGAAATTACTGTTGTTATTCCTGCGGTAAAATTTCTGGGGTTCTACGGTAAGCCACTTTCTTCCTTGGGTATATATATTGGCATACTGCACATATGACCAAGCATATATATATATATACATATATATAAATATGTGTGTGTGTGTTCATCTCTTGCATGAGAATAGGCAATTTTATTGTCTTTTCTTTCTATCCATCCTCAAGAACTTGATAGTTTTCGCTTGTATCGTGTTTGAACTTGTAATTACCATTACATATTGATGAATTTTTGTAAAAACACACACTTAAGGGTTTCTTCTACATACGAACAGCTGTTGGAAGAGGCAGCTCGTGGCGGCAAAGGATGCACGTCGAGTTGATGTACTATGTTACAGGATATACCTGAGTTACCGGCTTCTCGAGGGAACTTCTCGGTTCAGCGGATTGAATGAGATTGTAAAAGTTGCAAAGTCCAAGCTGGAAGATGAAGTCGGCCCGCTCGACGGGAATTCAGCCAAAATGGCTCGGGGAATCGTTAGTAGGCTTCCTGTTGCAGCTGAGGTCCAAGAGCTTTGTGTTACTGCAATAAAAATGGCAGATGACTTGTTAGCTAATGCTTCCACCATGGATCTAATGGCCAGAGGTCAGTCTCAGTTACATGATCTTACCTTTTTTTTCCAAATGATTCAAGAAATGGGTACGTGAAAAATGAACGAGAAACTTCAAAAAACACGAAAGGGACCTCGGAAATAGTGTTTATGTCTGAATTTAGGTTAATGCCGTGTCTCCCTTTTGTGCAGATTCACTTCCTGCTGCTTGCAAGTTTCACTTTGAAGAGATTACACCGACATCGGTAACTTTCCATCTGATTGATCTGCCTCAAACCTCATCATATGATGTCAATGGCTACAAGTTGTGGTGCTTCAAAAGCCGAGGAGAAGCTCCTGGAGAGGTTCCGTTTCGTCAGTTCCATAGAAATCAGAGGAGGATGAAGATATCGAACCTGCAGCCATGCACCGAGTATACATTCCGTGTTATCTCTTACACGGAAGCTGGTGATGATTTAGGTCACTCCCATGCTCGGTGCTTTACCGAGAGCGTCGATATCATGCAACGGAAACGTGATGTTTCGAGAGGAAGAGCTGCTCGGGAAGGGCAGGCTTCGGATCGGGAGGAAAGATGTGGTGTTCCCTCTTCAAGATTCAAGATCTCGCAGTTTGCGAAGTTGATGCAGTTGGCCGAGACCCAAGAAGAAGAAGGTTTGCTCGACGTGTTTTACAATGTGGATACCGAGAAAGATTCCGGGACGGAGGAACTGCCATCGGGCCGCCGCCCACATGGGTTTGACCTGAATACAGTCTCGGTACCCGATCTGAACGAGGAATTCACTCCTCCCCGAGATTCTTCGGGCGGCGAAGACAACGGAATCCCGTTGGATCTACCCGCTGAGGCTGACGACGAGGAAGAGGATGACGATACATCTGACGGAACAGAGAAGAACAATGGCTTAGTCAGATCAGACGGAAGCAATGCCTCTCTCCGGACAGAGGAAGAAGACGTGCCTGAACTCGGTTTCCTCGAAAGGGTGGCCAGGAAAAGGAAAGAAAACCCGAACGAGGAGGAGGAGGAGGAGGCCGAGCCTCAAGAATGCGACAGCTCGCTGGTGAAGAAGGGTTTACCGGACGGTCTGGACGAGGAGCTCGTGAAATGCGTGAAGACGGTACGGAGGCTCGAGCGTGGAGGGCACATCGATCAAGAATTCAGGTTGAAGTTCTTGACTTGGTACAGCCTCAGGTCCACGGTTCTCGAGCGCCGGGTCGTGAATTCGTTCGTACAGAACCTGGAGGACGAGCCGTCGAGCCTTGCCGACCAGCTCCGTGACTCGTTCTTTGATATCGTCTCGGCCAAATGCCCAAGCAACTGATCCTCCCTCCATTTTTACATGGTAAAATCATTGTTTCATCATTAAGTATATATATATCTATATATAACCCAGGATTATCTAATTTTTAAACTGGTTGTTTATCATCATTCAGACCACATGTGAAACTTCTTGTCCCTCTGTGTTTATTTCTGATCATGTAGGGATTTTATTAAAACTCTTTTTTTTTTCCTTTTATTTGTTTTTGTTTTCTTAGGAGATTTCTTGAAAACTCTTGTGGGCAATCATTTTGCCCTCTTCCCTCTGTGTTTTTATAAATTATAATAATATAATTATGAATAATTAAACAGGTCTCTCTCTCTCTCTCTCTCTCTCTCTCTCTCTCTCTCTCTCTCTCTCTCTCTCTCTCATTCCCGCTGTGCGCTACTTCGCTGCCCTTTTCCTGGATTGTGTTCACTTTTCTATATTTGCCGATTAATTAATAGTCTTATTTATTTTTTTCGGAAAATCCAAAAGAAATATCTAAACCTTTTTTGCCAAATAAAATTTTAACTTTTTTTGAGTAATAAATAAATCTAAATTATTACAGTTATTATTTTTAAATTCATCAATGATTTGGTTTATCAACATATTTGAATGATAACATGTCAAAGAACTTATAATATATAATATCTATATGTAATGTCATTATTTAGATTTAAAAATGACAACGATAGTAAAAATCGAGTTTATTTTTTATTGGAAAATAAAGGTGAGATTTTATTTGATAATTTTTGTTTTGTAAAAATTGATAAATTTAGGTACTTTTTTTTTTGAAATTTGTCCTATTTTTTATCAATATTAATTAATTGGATATATAAATGAAAAGTGGTAATCCATTGTCTGCGGCAGTCTCATCTTGGCGGGCAGCCCGCATCTTTTTTTCTATTTAATGTATATTTTTAATATAAAACTATAAGCCCAGTGGGCCTACAAGTAAACAATATGGGCCCATTCACATCAATATGAAGCCCAGTCAATTGATAAGCATATCTATTATTTTCTCCAACTTCACTTGGCCTCAAGTCATGATGAACTAAACGCCGTCGTTTTATGAGGGGAATTTTCCTGATCATATGTGCATGGACGTTTATCTTCTGCGACGAGAATTGCAGACCTCTAGTTTCTCTCTCTCTCTCTCTAGGATGCCGCTTCTTCATGCTCAGTCATGGCGGCAACCTTCATTTCAGGGCAGAGCTTCGTTGCCGAGAAGAGGCAAGTCTAGAGAATCGCTCCTATCGGAGGAGTTTCTTCAACCACAAGCTTCCATCTTCACCTCCAAGCCTCTCGGGATACGAAGATCGAAATGGGAACCTCAGAAAGTCTCTGTTTCAAGATCACTTGTAGTTAAAGCTACTTCTGCTCAAGGTGAATCCTTGTGTTTTGTGTTTGTAATTCAATGGTTTTCGAGAAACAGAGACGTATTTGAGGCTTGTGTAAGCATTTCCTTATGTCGTGTTCAGTAGAAATTAGGGTAAATGGAGAATCTGAGTGATCAATTTAGTGGATGAGATGGGCATTTAGTAGTTTGGACTTCGATTCGCATTTCAGGCCATTTTGTTTGAGGTTGGTTTTTGCAGTCATAATCATGAACTGGCAATTTCCTATTATGATTGTACCTCTCTGCCGTTTTATTTCTTACTGTAAGATCCTTGTGCATGTAGCTCTTACAAAGAAGTTTGAAACAATAGGGTTTGGTTCCGAGTTTAAGTCCTGTCTATCTGTCAAGACATTTTCTTAAGCCAAGTATGATAGTTTTGTATTAAGTTAAGCATTGGCTTAAATTTTCGATTTCTGTAGCCAGTAATGGTGTGAGAGTAACAGAAACAGCTGAGAAAGACGTGTTGAAGGCGCTGTCTCAAATCATCGACCCTGATTTCGGAACAGACATAGTTTCCTGTGGCTTTGTGAAAGACTTGGAAATTGATGAAGCTCTTGGGGAGGTATTCTGAAATATATTCTGTGTGGTGTGGAACCAGTTCTTATTTCGGGGTTTTGTGATACATCTGATGATGAAACTTGTTTGGCTCGGTTTTAGGTTTCCTTTCGTCTGGAGCTGACAACACCGGCATGTCCAGTCAAGGACATGGTAAATGACAAAATAATCCACCATTCTTTGCTCAACAACTGATGATGTACCTTGAAGTGGTAGACTTTCATTTCGTTCGATTGCTTTCACTTTGAAACTAATTCTCAAAATTTGGGTGAAGCTTAAATAAAACAAATAAAATTTCATCAGGGGTTTAGTGTTATATATGCTTGGAGGCATGCATACAAGCAGCAGTTTCATTATTTAACTTCCTTATTTGTTGTTGGAATAAGAGTATAATGGAATACATATGGCCTGCAGTTTGAGCAGAAGGCAAATGAGGTAGTTGAAGCTCTTCCTTGGGTCAAGAAGGTCAGTGTGACCATGTCAGCTCAACCAGCCAAGCCCATGTTTGCCGGGAATCTCCCTCCGGGATTAGCAAGAATTTCAAACATTGTGGCTGTTTCAAGTTGTAAGGTACAGAGAACATAGTCCTTGCCATTCTTTTGTAGTATTCTATGTTTCTTCTGTAGGAAATGTGCCTTATAATCTTGAATTCAACATGAATCTCAGGTCTAGTTTCGATAAATCTCAACCGTTTCATCTTGTTTTTCTAAAGAAAACTGTTTTTTTCCCACAGAATTAATAAAATTTTGAGAACTTGGGATTAAGGTGCTGTTGTTATTGTTGCAATAAGTTTTTGAGGATTTCTTAAGAGTATAGTTGGAGTTGCTGATTTGCTGTTAAATTATTTTTTTTTCCCACAGAATTAATGTCGGTTTTTTCTTCTCCATGAATGTAGAAGCTAATCAGTACGTTTTAGTTAGTAACACCATTTCGTTAGATTAACTTCTCAGGGGGGTGTTGGGAAATCAACAGTAGCTGTAAATCTTGCATATACTTTGGCCGGAATGGGAGCCAGAGTTGGTATCTTCGACGCTGATGTCTATGGTCCAAGTTTACCGACCATGGTCAATCCTGAGAACCGGCTCTTGGAAATGGTAATATGATCTTGACTAGTTAATTATCTGTTTTTTTTTTCAGTTTTTTACATGAAGAGCTAAGTTGTGAAATTGTTAAATATGTTTTGATAGAACCCTGAGAAGAGGACCATAATTCCAACAGAATACTTGGGGGTCAAGCTGGTCTCATTTGGATTTGCCGGGCAAGGACGTGCCATAATGCGAGGTCCTATGGTTTCCGGGGTCATAGACCAACTCCTAACCACAACCGAGTGGTTCGTCTTTCTAAATTTAAATTATAATTTCCTCTTTCTTCACAAGCATGATAGAGAAAAGTTTCTGAAATTTTTAAGAGGAAATGCTTTGCAGGGGAGAGCTGGATTATCTTGTTATTGATATGCCTCCTGGAACTGGAGACATTCAACTCACGCTATGCCAGGTTTTCACTATGAACACCCTTCTCACTTGACCAAATTTCTGTAACAATTTCATCGAAAGCAATGTGAATATGGATATCTAGATACTTTTGGTATAGTTTATAATGTAAAGCTGAATCCTTTAGCTAACCTAAAGGAAGTTGACATTTGTTGAAAGTTTCTTCTTCTTCTTCTTCTTTCTCGTAAACTTATACTACGACGATATGTATCAGGTTGTGCCTTTGACAGCTGCTGTTATTGTCACCACTCCTCAGAAGTTAGCCTTCATTGATGTTGCCAAAGGTGTACGGATGTTCTCAAAGCTCAAGGTCTTTTCTTTTTTTCTATTCCATATTTTCATTACAAGATATCCGTTGTGATTATTCTGTAGACAAAATGTCACAATTGATGAACCTTAGATGGATCTTGTGAAGTAGGTGCCTTGTGTTGCTGTTGTGGAGAATATGTGCCACTTTGAGGCTGATGGAAAACGATATTACCCTTTCGGAAGAGGTTCGGGTTCTCAGGTAGCTCTCGTATACGTATGTATTGTTACATATATTTCATGTGCAAATTATTCAACTTCTAATGAGAGTCTCTGACTGCAGGTTGTCCAGCAATTCGGCATACCCCATCTCTTTGACCTTCCCATTCGACCAACGGTACATATTATATGTATCCTCAGTTCAATAACATGATTGATTATACATAATTATCACATTGGACCCAGAATCCTAAATGATGATTATTTATTTCCCTTGTGATTGACAGTTATCCGCTTCTGGAGATAGCGGAACCCCTGAAGTGGTGACTGATCCTCTAGGAGAAGTCTCCAGAACATTCCAGGATCTCGGTGTATGTGTAGTGCAACAATGTGCAAAGATACGCCAGCAAGGTAACCCCCCCCCCCCCC